TCTCAGTGAAACTGGTGGTATTTGAAAAATATGGCATAATTTTAAAGGCAATGGGCCAAAAGGCAAAAAAATATATCCTGGTCTTAGTCCTACCGCGATTGGTCTACGGACGGCTGCAGGCTGTCTGCACAGTCGCCCATGATTCCTTCCTCCCTTTGAACACTTCAAGCTGCGGCATCGGTGAGGCTCTGAGATGAACGCATTCGGCCCCTGGCATTTCCTGTGCTGTTCAGAGACGATTCTTACAGGACACCCAAGACACAGTCTCCTGGGAAGAGCAGGCACCTTCAGGCCACGGGTCCAGGCTTTACGGCTCTTTGCTTTCAGAACAAACCTAATGGATACTCGGGCTTTTCACTCCAATCTTCAGAGCATTACCCAGGTTACACCAGGCATGGACAGCAGTGAAGCGAGCCCCTTGCAGCACCTGTCTGCCCAGGTGGCTCCCCGATGCAGCCAGCCAGAGGCCCCGACTTAGAAACAGGGCTGGGCTGGGTGCCGTAAGGTTTGGCTGGCCCGTCAGACCCAAATTCAACACACACAACTTCTAAGTGTTTCTGCTCTTCTAGTCCTTGATAAGGAGTCTGGACATTACCCAAGAGAACATGCCCCGAGTGGAAGGACTATTTCTACGTCTCAACGAGCAACCTAGCAAAGCTGCAGGTCAAATACTTTAAGAAACACGGCCCCTATCCACCGCACCGCGAGCCTGCTAGTATCCTTACTCTTCCTTTGTTCCATTCGGAACTGCAGCTTCAGCATGGTGATAGCGAAATGTTAAAAATAACCGTTCGCTCTGCGCTCTCCACTCTAAACTTGCTTTCTTATATTTAAAACATGTTTGCCACGTCCACACCCCAGGGTCCAAGAACAAGTGGGAATGGAACTTGCTTTGCAGTTGAGAAAGCTCTAAACCAGCCGGCAAAAAAGAATTTGTTTCTAAGCCACATTCAGGGCTTTCTCCCTCCACGTCTTAACTCCGCAGGCAGGGAAGCCAGGCGTTGCAACACAGCCCCTCTCCCCAACTTCCCCTGGCGGCCAGTCTCTGGCCCTGTCTTATCTCACTCCTTCCTGCAGCGATCGTCCCTGCCCTCTGCCGTGATTCAATCACGCTGACCACCAGAGACTCCCGCTCGGTATCGATAAGCCTTCTCCTCGGAGATAAAGGCGTGAATTATTAACTATCTTTGACACAGCTATTCCTGCCTCAGATGGGACATGTTGGAATAGTCTGAAAAGAGCCTCCTTATCTTCCTACTCTACACTTAATTCTTTCACATCCCTAAAATGTTGGCGGCCCGTGGGGTGGTTTTCTTTTCCTTACTTCTCGCTTTGAGCGGTGCAGGCAGGAAGGTTACTGCAAGTTTGAGAAAGGACAGCCTGGACTAGAGACCCTCTCTTTAAAAGAGGACTTAGCGATCCTTCGGTTCACAAGTGTGACGACTGGGTGTTCATGTGTTACAATGCACGAGATGTGCCTCCCTCAAACCTTGTTACGACGTGGGCACATTACCCGGCTGACATGAAAAAAATAAAATAAACGAGGACTTAGCAACTTGTTTCTTTTGGGGGTGGGGCAGGGAGAGGGTCTTGAGCTTACTGTGTAGCCCAGCCCGGCCTCAGAAGCCCTATCCTCCTACCTCAGCCTCCCCATCGCTGCACCTGCAGGCGAGCACCATCACACCTGGCCAGTCCCTTGTTTTGAACAAGGACAATATGGCAGAAGTGACAGTGTCAACTTCCAGGACTGGGTCGTAAGCTACGTTTTGGGGTGTCTTAGCACTCAGTAAACTGGTTACTTAGCTATGTAAACCAGTAAGCATTCGTCAACTCCCAGCATACGCAGGATAGGCACCGGTTGCCTCCCCTTTTCCCAACACCGCTTAATCTGTGTCCCAAGCTAGGGTGGTTGGGCCCTAGGCCACCACAAGCTGCTGGGACTCTCCTGTCACTGCAGACTGCCCGGCTCATGCCGTACTGCTCTGCTGTCACAAGACGCCAACTTCTCCCTGCCTGCCAAGCTCACGGCCCTGTGCTCTGCAGAGTGACCAGGGCTTCCCTGCTGCTGGAGCCCCCACCTCACGAATTCCACGCAGTCTCCAGTGTCCCTTGCTGGCCCGCACCGCACTCTCATCGCCCACGTTCACAGCTCCAAGCTGCCTGCTTTCCTCATGAAAATCCCTCGTTCTTCCCTACTCGCCGCTGAGGACTGAACACCGCAGTGCTTGGCCTGGGGTGCATGCACAGCCCTTTTATTTTTGGCAAGACTAGGGATTGAACTCAGGCCCTTGCCTTGCTCTTGCCAAGGAAGCGCTTATTCTACTGAGCCATCTCCCCAGTCCCTCAGCTCTTTTACTTAGAGACAAGATGTCACTGAGTCTTCCAGGCTACCCCTGAGGGCATGATCTTCCTGCCTCAGCCTTCTAAGTGGCTGGGAGCGCCGGTGTGTGCCGCTGGCCCCGGTTTCACCGGCTCAATAGTGCTTTCCTGCAGATATGAGCTTGAGGGAAAAAATAAATCTATTCTCCACAGCAACACGTTGGTGTATTCACACATGCAGGGTGTATCACCGGAGCAGGTATCCCACAGGCACCAAGTGAGGTGCTGACTAGCAAAAGGCAGACACACATGTCCTTCCAGAGCATCCAAGGAAGAAGTGAAATGAACAAGTACCATGATTTTTTTTTAATGTATTTAGTTCAGATCTACAGGGTCTGTTTTCAGCCTCCCAAGCACCAGGATTACCACGCCCGGGCTCAGGGGCCATCTCAGCACACCCGGGGTAAAGCCGGCACACAGGCCCGGGGATCAAACCCCAGCAAGCCGGGCGCTGTGCTCTGCCCGAGCAGGCGCTTTAGTCTGCTGAGCTATCTGGCTGGCCCTAAGTGTCATGAAATGGGAAAAGGGATGCCACGAGGGGGCGAGTGAGAGGACCTGCTTCATTCAGATCGCAGGCTGCACGGCTGGGCTCGGGCATCTCCCGAATGGGCCTGCCAGGATGTCTGTATAAATTATGCTTCCCCCACCGAGTTGTCTGTGCCAGGCTCACTCCACCCTGATGTCTAAAACACATCTCGGCTACTGTGGGCGTCACTCTTTGGCTTTCCAAGTCTCTGTGCCGAAGCTTAACGGGAACACAATTAAATACACGCTGCTCGCAGAGGCTGCAGAAAGCACAAGCCTCTCTGGCCTTGCATCTTATCACACACGTTAAATGTGTAGGAGATAATTTTAAAGTAATCTCTCACCGGCAGGGGCAGGTTCCCGAGTTCAATCCCTGGCACCCCAAAACAAAACAAAAATCTCTCACAAGATCACACGCCGCCATGGAAAATTTAATGTTGAAAAAAGAAAATCAACTGAAAACGAAAGAAGACACAACAGAAGGTCTCGCTCTGGCACTCGGAAGCGGGAAGCAGCCCCTGCGCGGCTCCAGCTCCCATGGACCTGCCCCGTGCCCAGGGACCGCCCGCCAAGGTATCCCTGGGACTCGTGCGTGTGATGACGCTAAAGGAAAATGCTAAGTGATTTAAAAATGGGAACGGCAGGGTAAGGAAACAACCTATCACAACACGTAGAAGTTTTGCGCTGTCATATTCTATAACCAACTAAAAAGGCTGAAAAATAAAACTTGATAGTTACACATAGAACTTTTCAACTATTATGATATCTGAGATTTGTAGGCCTTTCTGTCATTTTGAGACAGGGTCTCACTGTGTAGCCCAGGCTGGCCTTGCACTCAGGGGACCCTCCTGCCTCAGCCTCCTGAGGGTTAGGATTACAGGTACGTGCCACCACGCCCATGTTTGGTGCCCCGGATAGGGAGCCTGGGATTCCAGGGCTGGCACAGCATGTGGTACGGGGGATGGACCTCAGTCCTTGTGCTTGCCAGGCGGCAGACTGCTGAGCTAGCTGTCCAGCCCGAGGCACAGAATCCGTAACAAATTCCCAAAACGACACAAATATTGCCTTCAAGTGCAAAACTTGTATTTTACAACTGACAGGCATTCCTAATAGTTTTAGTGGTTTTTTCATTTCATTTTATTTATTTAGTTTGTGGTCCCGGGGACTGAACTCAGGACCCTCCTGCACTTGTCAGACAAGTACTTATTCTACTGAGCTATCTCTCCGGCCCGGTTTTAGTGTACTTTAAAAATCAGGGTTACCAAAATTAAACAGGTCTTTCTCCTTGAGGTCCAAGTGAGCTACAGTAACATCAGCAGATCCCACTGCCTTCTAATGATGTGGTCTTGAAAAGACCTTATTAGAATACATGAGGAAAGGGCTGGGGAGATGGCTCCGTGGTCTAAAGCATCTACTTAGAACAAGCTTAGCAAAGCACAGGGACGGCGGTTCAATCCCCCAGCACCACATGCCAGCCCGCCCCGCCCCCTGGTGGGCTGAGCTGGCTACACACACACACACACACACACACATAAATAAATTAAAAAAAAAAAAAGAATACATGAGGAAAAAGAGCCAATACTCTCCGGGTGGGCTGCACGAGTATAACGCCTTACTCTGGAGAGCCCGCGGCTGCTGTCAGCGGGCCTCAGCCTGCGGAATCCCGCCCAGGCCGCTGTGGCCAAACCTGTTAGACTGCAAGCAGCCATTCTCCTGGGAACTGACAGCCGCCCAACAAGAAAAACATTAACTTGTGACTTTTCAGAGGAAGGATTTTGTCTTTACTCTTGACGTCGACGATGTAATTTCAACACGCTTGCAGGGTGCTACCTTTATTACTGAGCAATAAGCACTTTCAAGTGGCACGGAAGCCTCCTGGCCAGGGAGGTGGCTCCCTGGTGGTGGCCACGCGAAGCCTTCCGAGCCGCTTCCCGCAGAGCGACCGGTCACCGACCAGTTCAAGTTCCTTTAAAAAGCCAAATCACTGGAGGCCGGGGAGAAGGCTCAGTGGAATAAGTGCTTGCCCAGCAAGCGCAGGGGCCTGAGTTCAATCCCTGGTTCCGAAAAACGAACGAACGAACAAACAAACAAAAAGCCAAATCACTTTCCCGCTCACAAGCTCTAGGCAAGGCCTCCCATAAAGCCATTTCTCTTCTTCCTTTCCTGCCTCCAGACACAGCGAGGCCGCGCCCGGAGCCGCCCAGGCTGGCGCACACCCCACTGGGAGCCGCCTCCCTCTCTGCAGTTTTCTCAGGCTCTCCAGGGCTCTTCAGGGGACAGAAAGGAGTGCCTCTCGCCAGCTTCTCCCCTCTCGGGGTGCACTTCTCCCTAAACGTCCCAAAGGGAACCTTGTGGCTGGTTCTCCGCACTCCCAGGTTTCTCCATCTCGGCCTTAAGGTATCCTTCTTCCACTGGAAGGCACGCCCTCGTTCTCCACCTGCTGAGCAGGCGGGCCACCTCTCCAGGTTTCCAAGGACTCCGGGTTCCTGTGGCCACGGGCTGGCGCTCTCCCTCCACCGACCTGTGGGCCAAAGCAGAGGCGTTTACAGCTTGCAGGCAGCAGGAGCGCCCACAGCATCCTACCGCAGCTGCCTGGTGCTTCCCAAGTTGTAATCTAAACTAATGCAACCATTAAATCCTGAGCTCCAGGGCAGGACTGGGCTCCAGGAGAGTGAGCAGAAGCGAGCTCTGCTGAATTCTGAGGAGGGTGAAGCTAAGTCTGGCGGAAGGGAGCGCAGGCCTGGGGAAGAGGAAGGGAAGAGAGGAGAAACAGGAGCGCAAAGGAGGGGGGGAGTGCCAGGAAGAAGAGATTTTATACACAAAAGAGGAGGGCAGCTGGTAAAACAAAAAGGTAAGAAAAGGAAAGCAACAGAAAGCCTCAAGAAATAATAATGAAAAAAAAAAAAAAAAAAAAAAAACCCAGAAGTGCAAAAAGACCAGAAGAGCCAGAGTAAAAAGAAAAAGGCGCGAGGCTGAAGAGAACAAGACCCAAGGAGAGGAGGGCAAAGAGGGTGTGGAGCAGGGGTGCAGAAGCCAAGGGCCCCCTCCCTGCGCCCTCAGGGCTCCCCTAGGGCATAGTCATGTCTGCCACTGTTGCTAGCAAGCCTCATCAGGCCAGCAAGGCTCACAGCACAAAGCACTTTCCAGGGCAGCCCCAGCCTCTGCGGCCCATGCACGGTCAGCTGTGCCGAGCTGCAAACCCTCTCCGTCCCCAGCCCCATGCAGCAGGACTGGCTGCTCCAAGGGCCACTGGCTCACTAGAGGAGAGGAAGACCCCGGCAGAGCTATTACCGCTGACTTTGGACTCAATATTCCACGACTAGGAAGGACACACTGGGGTGGGGAGCAGTTTGAGGCAGGGCCTGGCTATGCAGTCCAGGCTGGCCTTGAACTCACTACGGAGCCTTGGACTCGCTGTGACCCTCCTGCCCCAGCCTACAGAGGGCAGGGATGACAGCCAGGTGTCTAAACTGTTTCCATGCTCCACTCAGCTGGTGTTTCCTGTACGTGTAACTCAACCGTGGTCATCCTATCTGCTGTAACTGGGGAGCAAGCACTCTCCAGAGTCCCTCTCGGAGACTCTTCTACAGGCTGCCAGGAGGGTGCAGGAGGGAAGGCAAGGCCCCGGAACCAAGGGCTGGACTGCGAGGACTGAAGCTCCTCCCCGGCTCGCACCAGCCGTGCAGCTGCCTACTGTGACTAATGCTGGCTGCACCAGACCTGTCCTGGGCACATGCACTCAGTACTGGACCCCGGGGGGGTGGTGCATCTTAAAACATACAAACCAACAGATGCTCAATGACACATACATAACTGAACTATTAAAATCGGTACTTAGAGGACCAGACCCTAAACACAGGTAAAGGAGGCTAGGGTATAGGGAGGAAAACGAGGAGGAGGGAAACGGGTCCCCTGGACGCTGGAGGGAGCACAGGTGTGGGCTGAGGCCCACCACGAGAGTGGAGCGAGAAATTTCAATGCAGAAGGAGGTGGCTGGCGGTGCCCTCTCCCTGAGACAGAGTCGCTGGGCAAGAGGAGCCTGCAAACACGTGGCGGCTGCTGCTGACCCCAGAGGCCTCCACGGAGAGATGGGGCAGTGGAGGGAACAGTGGACTGAAGGGCTGCTCTAGCTGATGCTGGGCACTGCAGGCTCCGTCCTGCCACCAGAGAAAGCCCCGCCTGGGAGCCATCTGGGACAGCGGCTGCTGGCTTCAGCTAGGGGCTCCCTGCTGCGCTCTGGGCCACGCAAGGAGCGATGGGTCTGGTCCCAGCCGGGAGGGGCAGGTTCGCTGAGATGATCCGCCAACCCCCAAGAAAGCTCCTGCTGGCGTCCTCGGGTGGATGGGCTCTGGTGGAGACTGTCTTCACATGCTGTCTACCAGTGACAGCAGGGACAGACCTGGAAGTGGACTTTTTTGCTGTCTACCAGTGACAGCAGGGACAGACCTGGAAGTGGACTTTTTTTTTCTCCCTCTTCCTTTGTTGTTGCTGTTGTGGTTTTATTTTTGTTTGCTGTTTTTGTTTTCTCCTTCCTTGTTTGATCCTGCATTTGCATGAGTGTGAGCGAGGCTTGTAGTTTCTTCGCAGTGGTCATTTCTGGTTTGTTTTTTTTTTCTTTTTTGGTGGTACCAGGGATTGAACTCAGGACCTTGCGCTTGTCAGGCAAGCATTTATTCCACTGAGCTATCTCCCCAAGCCCTCTGTTTTTCTTTTCGTCTCTTCCATTTCTCTCTCCCTCCAGTCTTTCGCACTGGCTTCCCAAGGTTAGGTGACCCCCTTGGCCTGCGAGCCTCATTGCTAGCCTCCTCCTCTTCTACCTCTCTGTTTCCTTATCCCCTTTTAAGAGTTACTCCTGCAGGTAAAACAACACGGTTTTGGTACTGGGATTCACACTCGGCACTCACGCTTGCCAGACGGGTGCTGTGCTACAGAGCCACATCCCCAGCCCAAAAGGGACGTATGAAGGAATACTGTAAGCGCATAATTACATGATCCGTCTAGATTTTGTTATATAATCACAAGTCTAGTTCATATGGTTAAAGATGGCAAATTAAAGCCTACCTCAGGGGCCAGGGAGATAGCTCAGTAGAATAAGTGCTTGCCTGGCAAACGTAAGGGTTCCACCAAGAAAAGAAAGGAAAAAGGAAACAAAGCTTTGGGGCCAGGGAGACGGCTCAGTGGAATAAGCACTTCCCTGGCAAGTGCAAGGCCTGAGTTCAATCCCTGGTTCCACCAAAAAATAAAAATTAAAAACAAAATAAATAAATACAGGCTACCTCACTTTGTCATATTCTGGGCTGTGACTGATGTTTCTGTTATTGCTGATGTTACCATCTTGGCCAAAAGGGACATAACTGTTCTAAGCAGCTATTCTTCCTGGTGTTCCAAGACTGAGTAACTAAGGGTTACAGAACACACGGCAGCCACTTCTCATCCCCAACTAATGTACGTGGCAGGATCTTGACACACTGTGCCACCGTGATGTCAGAAGTGGCAGCTCCGGGACCATGGAGGGCCTGCCCTGGGGCGCAACTGGAGCCACCTCGGGGCACGACTGGTTCCACCCTAGGGTGCGACGGGGCTGCCCCTACATGAGTGAGTTGAGGAAGGCCTGCTGCTGCGCCCTTCCTTGGAGAAGTCCCAGTCTTCCGAGGAGCCACTGCAGAGGAGCGCTGGTCTTCGCAGTCAGCAAAGAAGGAAGAGAGAGGCCTGATGGACGCCGCCGCAGCTGCTGCTCCTCCTCTGCTCTTCATTGTTGTCTGCCACCATGAACTGCTGTCGTTTGCCCTGGAGCCAGCGAAATATGGACTGAAACTTCTACAAACTGTGAGCTAAAAAACCTTTCCTTCCTTCATTTTGGGTGTCAGATATTTTGTCCCAGCAACGAGTAAAAAGTAACTAGACAGACTCAAAACCCAAAAGCCAGTTACACTTGGACGGTACCTTGGAGTAGCCACTTCCTCTGGGCTCTAAATGCTAGCAGTAAAGTGACCCACTATAGGCAAGTTACAAGCATCACTCCAGGAATTAAACTAAAAAAGAGACTGGGTGTGGTGGTGCAGGCCTGTAATCCCAGCTCTTAGGAGGCTGTAAACACGGGGATCACTACAAGTCTGATCTAGTAGTGAGACCCTGAAACCCTGTAGACCCCTCCCTAAAAATACAAAATAAATTAATAAATAAAATAAAACAGAGGAGACACTTTGACGAGATGCACTCCCAGACATCCAGTTCACCAAAAGCAAACCCAGAGGGCACTGAGGTGGGACTGAAATCATCCACCTGTCCTCCCTGAAGTGGTAACAACAAAGCAATTGAATGATGCTCTAGAAAAAAATCAATCAGAAATAATTTCTCAGATAACTGCAGAGATGGTGTCTACGGAGAACACCATGCTTACTGACTCTGGAGCACACCATCATAAACAAGCAGAGGAGCTTAAGAAAACAACGGGGGGCCAGCCTGAGAGCTCAGCAGACTAAAGCGCCTGCCTAGGCAGAGCACGGCAGCTGGGGTTGGATCCCTGGCCGGCCGTGCTGGCCCCACTCCCGGCGCGCACAGAGGCAGTGACTGAGATGGCGCAGTGGTGCGTGCCTGTAACCCTGGTGCTTGGAGGCTGAAAACAGGAGGATCACCATGAGTCTGATCTATGTAGAGACCTTGTAGACCCTGTACTAAATACAGGGGGGAAAAGAAGAAAATGGTGGAAGTCATAAATAGCCAGCACAGGAAAGCAATGGAGTCTATAAGAGAGATTCAGGCAGATATCAAGGAAAATAAATATTCCATCGACAATGTCTGCAGCAGAATCAGCCAATGTGAGGACAGGATCTTAGATAGAGAAGAGAGGCTTGCACTTAGCCATCATGAAAACAAAGATTCCCTAAAAATGTCAAGAGACCGTGAGAAACCAAGGCAGCTGCTCCTCGACAGGGCAAAGAAGAACTCACGACTGGTCGGGGTCAAAGACAAAGCAGGAGACAGCACAAAGGGTACGAAAACCTGTTTGCAGACACGAGGGCAGAGAAGAAGAGTCAGGCACAGCTGGGCCACACGCGAACTCCAGTCAGCCATGATAAAAGAAGCCTATAGCCAGGTGTAGCATGATCAAGATCCTAGAAATTCAGCACAAGAACAGAGTCAAGATGCTGTTAGGGAACAGAAACGTATCACCCAGAATCGCGGCTTCCGCCCAGCAGAATCTCAGCTGACTCCTCACCACAAACCCCCAGGTCTAAGGGAGCCCGGAGTGAAGCACTGCAAGTTCCACAGGAGAACCACCTTCCACCACACTCATGGACCCTGCAAAACTGTCTTTCAAAACTGATGGAGAAAGAAGACAGTCCATGATACAGAGTATCAGGAAATGTATGACCACCACATTAGCACTCCAAATTTTTGAAGGCTACTCTAGAGAGATAACCAGGACTACAACTCCGTGGACCCCAACAGAAGGGACCCACCAGGCAAGGCAAACAAATAAAAGTGGGGGGAGCCAACAACAGGAAAATAACAACCAGG